ATTTTATTTCTTTTTTAAAATAGATTTATAGTATTTTAAAAGTTTTTTTTTATAAAAATAGAAAGGAACACCCAAGTTTTATTTTTTTTGAATCTTTTTAAATAACGCCAATTTTTTTATTTATACTTTAAATAAGAGATATTTTTAAATATGGTATCTGAATTATGGAAATATTTTACAAAAGATAAAGATAATTTTATAAAATGCGTTATCTGCGGAATCATCTGAGTCTGCCTTCAGTACGGCAGGAGATATAGATAGTCCATATCGTAGAAGCTTATTCCCAGAAAATCTTTATTAAAAAAATCTAATATAATAATTTTATATATTAAATATTACAATTTTATAATTCATACCAACATAAAATGGATATATTATTAAATATATATTTTTTTATTATAGTCTTAATTGTAGAAATAAAAAAATTAAATTAAATTCATAATTAGATTTTTTGCATAAAAAATATTGATTTCTTAATTACATTTGGTTCAAACGGGGGTGATTAAAAATCAATATAAATATCGGATCGGTATCGTGGGTTTGAAGCAATATCGGAAAATATCGGATCGGTAAAAAATATGTGGATCGGCACAGCCCTAGCCTTTATTCTGGTTTCTTATAGATGCGATTTCTCTAAAAATTTTGGGTTCGATCGTAGCCAGTTAAAGGTTTTTTGTAGTGCTGTAAACATTTCTAAAAAATCGAACACATTCAACGGACAAAAATCGAACGCATTCAAGTTCATGTTAAAAAAAAAGGAACGCGTTTACGTTCATAAAATCGTTCAAAATTTTATGATAAATTATTTTTAATTTTATTTAATAAAAATAAACTTATATTCTTTAATAAAATATATTTTAGCCATGTTAAAAAATAATATAGTTTTATTTTGATAATATAATTATAAATAAAATATAATATAATATAGCAAATAAAAAGATATTTTTATTTATAAAAAATTTTTCTTATTAAATTTTAATAACAATTGTTTTCAAAATATTTATCTGATAGACAGGAACACTTGGCAGTTAATACGCATTAGCTAATTAGCTAAACTAAAAACGCGCTCTACAGGGGCAGATGAGGGGATTGCGGTATTATACTTAATAAACAGCTCTTTTAACGTGGAGAATTCATTAAAAACATATTGTTTTGTTATTTGCAAAAAATTGAGATAAGTTATCCTCCTCCAATCCATTCTCTGCTCTTGACAAAAAAAGGATATCTTGAAATTAACAGTTCTCTAGGGTTTTCAAAGCATTTTTTTCAATAACGCTAAAGTTTATTTTTAATAGGTTCGTTCTGTGGAAGTTTTATCCATGGCCATTGAAGTTTGAATGCTGGATGTATAATTGCAGAAAGAACATATTGATCCTTATATGTTCAAATCTTTAAAAAAATAAAATATAGAATGATAGGTTTAATACCTTATTAATCCCATTTAATACGGCGTCTATCAATGGTTGACCATATTTGAGGCCACTAATTTTTTTAATTTTAAAATAACTCGTTATTGTTGGGGTCAAATATTCCAAATGCATTATTTCTTTAAATTTAATGATAATCAAATAATTAATATTAAAATCAAATGTCGTTTTAAATTGGAACCTGAAGATTTTGACAATATAATACTTTTTGGCCACATTTTACACTTGGTAAGCATTGGATTAGTTCCTTCAATATAGGATGTTAATGTAAAACATTTATCATATTTGGCCATAGTAATCTGATTTTGGATTTTCAGAATCAGATGATGAGGATTAAATAATAATATCCATGCTTATGCTAATCTATTAAATTAAAATATAAACAATAATATTCAAATTAATAAACTATGTGTTAAAAAAATTGAAATGTGAAAAGGAAATACACAGCCGATTAAAACATATAAATAATACATTTTTTTAAAAATTCGGAAATATTAATTTCAAAAAAATATTTTAAAATTGAACGAACGTTAAATTCGAACGCGTTCTTCATAAAAAAGGAACGCGTTCACGTTCAAAGTTTGTCAAAAATAAAAGGAACGCCGTTCATCATTTTTTTCAAAAAAACGAACTTTACAACACTATTTTTTTGGGATGTTAAAAAATTCTAAAAAAACGCTTTGTGAGCTAATATGCAAGAGAGGATGCATTTTAAATTTTGAAATATATCGTCTACATGGCCAAAGAAATGATTTATTGATTCCTCACCCTTTGGAGAGCCTAAATGTTATAAAAAATTTTAACGACAATATTCTTACTTATGTTAACCGAGATTGTCGGCAGTCCTTTATGATATTAATTGCTTTTTCTGCTTCTTCAGAATCATAGACGTAGGGGCAAGGAACAATCATTTTTTATTTTATTTATCAACTCGTGAATTCTTTGACAAAAAATTTGGAGCCTAAAGGGCCACCCTGCTGAATACCTTCACTAGTGGATAAAATATATGGTCCTAATATTAAACGAAATAAGTTATTATAAGATGAAAGGATGTATAAAAACTCGAAAATGAATTGTGAAATGAATATTTTTATGTGAATGTACGCATTGCTAAAGTTGATTTTAATTATATGTTGAGCGATAATAACATTTTGAACATAAATACATGTAACCAGGGTTGTGCATTTGACCGGTAAAATACGTTTCGGTCAATTGACCGATATTTGACAGGTCAAATATGGTCAAATGGGGTCAAATTCAAATATATGTTTTTTAAGTTAATATTAACTTTATTTTGAATATAATAGTAAAATGAATCTATAATATTAATTTTTTAAATTCATTGTCATTCAATAACTAACATGTAGCTATCTGTAGCAGAGTTTTGTTCTGATCCATATTCAATATTATCATTTTCTTTAATATTTTTTAATCAATTTTCTTGATGTCTTAGATCTTCAATCGATTTCTATTTTCATAAGAATATTAACCCAAATCGACCTATTTCTTTCTAAGGGAGAAGTAGAACTAGGAATTGTTAGTCTCTTAATGGGCAGGGTGGACAAAGTTTAATCTATTAACTAGGTCGGAATTGATTGTTTCTGGAAATTACTTTCCACATAATTTGCTATATTAAACATGCTGTTTTTGCTTCTGAAATTAATTATATCACTTAAAATATTTTGGTCATCACGACCTTGTAAAATAGCTAATTCTTGAGTTATATCACATACTTGTGAGTTTTCCTCTTGATATTGTGGGCACAAAAAATAAGCAAACATTGTGATCACATGTATTTACATCGTTTTTCCCTTTTTTAAACATATTTTTAATTTATTTTTCTTCCTTTAAATTTTTTAGAGTATTTGACCGTATTTGACAGGTCAAATACTTCTAGGGTCAATTGACCGACTTGCCAACCCTGCATGTAACATATGCGGGCCACTTGATTAAATCTTAATTTCAAAGCACGATAAAAAATATTTTTCTAAATAATTTAATTTTATCAATGGAAAATTATGCACTTTTTTTCTACCATTAAATTATCGAAATGATTAATTTAGTTATTTGTAAAGAAAACCATATAATTTCTTTTCAGACAATTTTAATTTCACATATTTTTAAAATATTTATATAAAGTTTTTATACCATTTTTAAGTACATGTCCAAACTCAAAAAAAAATGAGCACATTTAAACATCATCTGTACAATAGACAGGTAAGGTTAAAATTCATAAACCATTTTTTTGAGTTAGGACATACACTAAATGAATCAATTTGTTTGCAAAATATATTATATTTAGTCACAAAATAAATGAGCAATATTATAATTTAAGCTATCCAATCATATAAAATTAAAGCAATTAATTTAGGTAACTTTCACAAGAACAAGATAGCTATGTAATAAGAAGTTAAACTATAAATATTTTTATAGATGAGGCCCATATGATTTTTTATTAGCAAAAACTAGACTTATTCACGTTTTAATATCTTTCAAAATTGACACTAATCATTATAGAACTAGAATGATTGGCGTTAATGTAAAAAAATTTCATTTTCGCTAATAAAAAAATTTATTACAGGCTTCACTCAGCCAGCGTAGTCAAAATGCTGTAGGCTTTATAATAAATTTTATTGGAGGTATTTAGGTCCACTTCGTACAGGTTTTTGGATAAATTTTGGCTTTTTAAACCTTTTTATATAAAAATGTTTTTCTGAAAATTTTAAATTATATAGTAATTATTTAAAAAATTTATTGGCTTTTGCTAATATATTATTGTTTATGGTGATATATTGTATTTTATTTTGATGGGAGGATTTTTATTAGTTCAAAGAATTGGTAAATTCTCTAATAAGACGTGGGATGTCATCACTCTATGTTAGCAATGCTTATTTTAGCCCATTTGCGTCAAAATCATTCAAAAATCTTTAAAAACAACGATTATGACAATTGTCACTTATCTAGGGTACATCTTCACTAAAATTTCATTTAAACATGTTAGCAATGCTTATTTTAGCCCATTTACGTCAAAAAAACTTTAAAAACAACGATTATGACAATTGTCACTTATCTAGGGTAATCTTCACTAAAATTTTAAATTAACATCTTTACAATATAAATTATATTTTTATGTTATAAAAATTAGGTATATAATCCTTGAAGCCGAATTCGGGTCCTGAGCCATTTTTAGTTACGACATGAATATTATTATTATAATTTTATACTCATTAATCAGTAACCCAAAATTTAATTTACCAGATTTTATAAAAAACAAAAAAATTGAGCAAACCCAGCGTGTCGACTACACGAGCCGACCAATGCAGCTCATTTAGTCGACTCGAGTTAAAGTCGTTTTATCGACTAGAAACTAGGCTCGAGTGGCAGCTAAGTCGACTCGGCTTAGCCGTTTAACAACACTACATACAAGAATATAACGATATATATTTTATTTAACATTTAGGCCGCATGCAATACGTCCGATATTTATTTGTTTTATAAATATTTACAATAAAATAGTTTCTTAAAATATGCATACAAAAATATAACGATATATATTTTTTTTTTAACATTTAGGTCACATGCAATACGTGAATTCCGATCAAATTTTGAAAAATATACGAGATGTAGTACAATAAATTTAAATAGATTCCCAATACGCCCATTAATAAATAATTGTACAAATTTATTGTTAAATATTTTGTTATTTGTTTTTGGTATTTTTATAAAATTTTGAATTTTTTTTTAATTTGCACTAATATTTTTATTTCTCCCCCAAGTCGGAAGGGTGGGAGGAAGATGGCGTCGGTCGATAGGGAAGAACGTGGTCGAATATTTTAATATATGGGTTTGTTAGTGTTTTTATATAATAAAGTTTTTATTTTATCAATAAAAAATGATAAAACACTAAAATATTAAAACAAGTAAATAAAAATATGTAAAAATTTATTAAATTACTAATAAAAAAATATATTAATAGTATCAAAGGCTCTAAAAAGAGCTTAATTTAATAATGAGTGATTTTTTTTATTAGAGAATTACTAAATTCAAAATTTTTATTTTATAAAATTCGATAAACATTAATGTGCTATAAACATTTCTAAAATAATCGAACGAGTTTAACATTCATTAACAAAAATCTAACGCATTCACTTTCAAAAAGAAGGAACGCATTCACGTTCCTTCAAATATGATAAATTTTTTTTTAAATTTAATTTAACATAAATTAAATGTCTTATATTTTTTAACACGGGCTATGAGATATATTTTATAATAATTATGTATTAAAAAATGATATAGTTTTATTATTTATAAATACAATATAATATAGCGAATAAAAAGATATTTTTATTTAAAAAAAATTTTTCTTATAAATTTTTAATAACAATTGGTTTTCAAAATTTTCATCTGATAGACAGAACACTTGGCAGTTAATACGACATTAGCTATACTAAAAACGCGCTCTACAGGGGCAGATGAGGGGATTGCAGTATTATACTTAATAAACAACTCTTTTAACGTGGGAAATTTATTAAAAACATTTATTGTTTTGTCCTTGCTTCAAAAAATTGAGATAAGTTTTCCTCCTCCAATCCATCCTTTACTTACTCGTCAAAAAAAGGAAATTAACAGTCATTGCATTATCATTTCTAGAGGTTTCAATGAATTTTTCATCAATAACGCTACAAGTTTATTTTTTATAGGTTGGTTCTGATAAAAATATCTATGGCCATTGAAGCTTGAAAAGGATGTATAATTGCAGAAAGAACATATTGATCTTCTAGGATGTATAATTGTAGAAAGAACATATTGATCTTCATATATATGTTTAAATCTTAAAATAAAATATATGTAATTAATTTGATAGTAATATGTATAATATTTTTATTAATCCCATAATTTAGCCCACTAATTTTTTTTTTAAAATAATTACCGTTATTGTTGGGGTCAAATAACCTAAATGCATTTTTTTTTCAAATTTAATGATTTACTTAGTTATATTATATAAAATAAAATAATTAATATTGCAATCAAATGTCGTTTTAAATTGGAACTTGAAGATTTTGAAACTATTGGGCACATTTTACATTAGGTAATTATTGAATCAGTTCCTTCAATATAGGATCTATAAAATATATATCATATTTGGTCCATGGTAATGTTAATTCATCTGATTTTGAATTTTCAGAATCAGATAATGATGCCATGCTTATGCAACTAATAAATTAAAATATAAACAATAATATTCAAATTAATTAAATATAATAATGATGTGTTGAAAAAAATTGAAATGTGAAAAGGAAATCAGTTTATTATAAAATATAAGACATTTTTCTTAAAAAATTTGGAAAATATTAATTTTTCAAATAAATAAAAATAAAAGGTGTTTTTAAAATTTAAACGAACGTTAAATTCGAACGTTCCTTCAATATAGGATGTTACTGTAAAATATTTATCATATTTAGGCCATGGTAATGTTAATTCAAAATCAGATGATGATGAAATAATATCCATGCTTATGCTAATCTATAAATAATATTCAAATTAATAAACTAATAATGGCTTAAAAAAATAGAAATGTGAAAAAGGAAACAGCTGATTATAAAATATAAAACTTTTTTTAAAAAAATTCTGATTAATATTAAATTTTCCAAATAAATAAAAAGTGTTTTTAAAATTGAACGTTAAATTCGAACACGTTCCTCATAAAAAAGAACGCGTTCATGTTCAAAGTTCGTCAAAAATAAAAGGAACACCGTATATCATTTTTTTCAAAAAAACGAACTTCCTTCATGAACGAGTTCAAAATGAACGCGTTTGTTTACAACACTAATAAACATCGATGTACGTAAAGCCATTAAGTCGGCCTTAACAAAATGGATATCCCATTAAATTTTAGTTAATTTGATGTAAAATTTTTTCCTCGTTTATAGCAAATGTTACTGACTCGTAGATTTTATGGCTAAAATAATGTCACACAGCTTCAATTAAAAACGAACACCTTCAAAATCCATGATAGAAAATTTTTGGAAATAATAAAAGACAAATTTATCCATAAAAACATTTTATACGGTTTAAAATTTAGTTATGTAACTCTTTGCTTAAATAATTCTAATTATAATAGAGGTCGCTGATTGTTGAGAAGTTTCCTATGCCACATATCGTTACCTGAGAATTAGGCTATTCCATCTACATTTTGTCAAAAAAAAATTTTCATAAATATATTTTTTAAGAATATATTAATTTATTTGCATCAAAAAATCTTAAACTTTTAAAATAAAATAAATTATAGCCAATATGAGATTATTATTCTATCTCCCTATTTCCTCTTATTGTTAAAATTATTATTCCATTTACAAAAGGTAATCCATCCATCATATGCATTTTTAAAACGCTTTCACATATCACATAAATGAAATTAAGTTATTTAACTGATTTTGTGGCCTTATATATAAATCCTAATATTACTGATCCAAATAACAAAAAATTAACAATAAAGAGACCTATTAATTTCGATCAATGGAAACAAACTCAAAGAACATATTTATTACAAAGGAGAACGCTATATGTAAAATTGTAGCGGAATAATAAAAGAAACCAGAATTATCAAAATCATAAAAGATTGCTCAGAATGCAGATTTATTTACTAAAAATTTATCGGCCAAAAAGCGAAAAAATTTATAATGAATTTTAATAATATGATAAAAAATTCTTTAATTTAAATATAAGTTGTACTACTATATCAAGAGATAGATCTATTATCAAAATAAATCTATTCGTATAGCTATCATTCTCGTGTTAATGATAAATTAAGATTGAGCATGCTTTTTTATCAACATTGGATATTAGGCAGAAATAGATAATATCTAATTTTTTTAAAAGAAGTTAATAATATTACCAATACGTAAAAAGGAAATCACAAAAAAATTAATTAGTTCAGAAATAATGAGCATGTTATGTTATATATTAACAGCTTTCCTAGCCTTCAATCTCATTATTGTAATGCTCAAAGGAAAAATATAGATAGCTATCTGTGTTTAATACATTTAGATTATTGCAAAAATTATTACCTTGATCCCAGGCGCGTACGCAGAAATTTGGTCTGGGGGGGGGGTAATATAATTTTTTAAGAAATTATATTGATATTTAAAAATATAAAGCATAAATTTATTAGGACTAATAACTATTTCTAATACACAATTTTAAATTAATGTGAATTATAAAAAATTATATATATAAACCGGCATATGAAAAACTATAAAATAAATGTGAATTATAAAATATAAAGTGAATATAACCACATATGAATCACTTAAATGCCCCAAAATAGAAATTTGAATTTTTTGAGCCTTTAAAATTTATATATAAAGTATAAATTTTGGAAATATAAATTAATACACAAAAAGTTTCTTAGGAATTTTGTATGTTATATATTTACAATGTAAAATCCAATCTTCGTTGGGATTGTGCTAATTTTTCAATTATCTCATCCTTGCGGCGTATATTCAAACCATTTAATCTACTTTCAGAAGTTGTACTTCTTATGTTGTTTTTCAGAGATTTGCAGACCCAACCCCGGGCCGGACCGTACTATAATTTTTTTAAATATACTCGGGCCGGGCCCGAATTTTTTTTTTTAAAAACATGGGCTGGGCCTTAAAATTTTTTTAAAAAAAATATCCGGGCCGGGCTGTATATTTTAAACCAAATACTTGAAATCGCCATTATTAGCTATAAAAGTAATAAATAAATATAATTTATTTTAAAAAAAATCGGGATGGGCCTGAAAATTTATTTTTTAAAAAAATCCGGGCCATGCCCTAGAAATGGTACTTCTGCAGGTCTCTGTTATTCTTCTTAAAAAAGTGAATGTTCTCCCATTAGTTTACAAATGGGAAGAGTTGCTAATATATATAACCATTTTAATACATTGGGTATATAATCTAAAATGTGCTTGAAATAATGCAAAGCATCCATGGCATTTTTTAGGACTATATCAACCATAGTTAATCTTTTAATCATAGTTATTCAGCTAATAAGGTATCCTAAGATACTTTAACATCTTCATGATAAAAATCTAACAAATATTCATTTTTTTTCTATCACCATCTGAAAGTAATATCTACAGATTGGTAAGTGCTGCATGATGAATTAAAAACCATTAGCTCTAATTTCCTAGAGTTCTAATAAAATGCTCTCCGCTATTCTCATCTTCTTAATCAAGTCATGTCATGTTCTTGAAAAGTATTACATAAATAGTTGTATAATTAAATAATACATTCTAATGAGAAAAAAAACTTGGAATAAGTATTGAATTCAATAATTTTTTTGCTTCTGAGGAAATATTTCTTTCAAACCATTGTGATATTTCAGTAATAGCAAATAATTGGCTCTTCTAACTCCATAAAAGCTGTTATTGCTTGATGGCGGAGACTATCTCTTTGGAAAAGGTTGCAATTTCTTTCTCCCTGTTGGACAAGAAGTTTCAGAAATAATTATTATTTGACTAGAAATATAGATAAATATTACGCTACTAGAAATTTGAAAATAATGGTAAATATTACGCCAAAGAAAACATAAAATCGAAATTAATTGATAAAATAACTTAGTAGATGAATGTGATAAATAAATGTAATTAAATATATATATGAGATGGAAATAAATATTAACAAATATAAATTAATATAAACAATAATATTTTTGAAAAATATAATCCGGCATCTGCATTGTTTAACTTGACGAGGGGGGGGGGGGGGGTTGTCTCTCTGCTCCCCCCCCCCGCCGCTTACGCACCTTCTTGATCTTTTTTTGTCACACCATAAAATGATCACTGTGATGATGTGAAGATTAAAAATATCAGATAATAAAAATTCTTATATAATTATTAAATGTTGACATTTGTCACATTGGGATATTCATATTAAAAGAAATACACAATTTATTTAGAATTATAAGGAA